TAATGTGACAAAATGTGGAAAAGTTCAAGGGGGCTGAATACTTTTGCAAGTCACAGTGGAGGATTATGATCTGCTGTGGCAACATATAAAGCAGGGGTGGGCAATAGTAGTCCCAGAACTTCATGCGCTCTTTGGGAAAAAATCAAATGCACAACCTTGCTAAAAGGGAGGAAAGCTGGATATTGATATCTTTATGAGCTTTAAAATGAACTGTACCTGCTGGTTTAGTAGTGGTTATGGTCGTAGTGGTAGTAGTGGTAGTAGTGGTAGTTGTTGCGGGTTTTGCTGCAGGGACAAAAAGTAAGTCAGCAGGGATGTGTAAAATCCCAACTAGAGATGCAACTATTTGATTGGAAAGGATGGGACATCGGTTTGATCCTCACTCAAAAGCCTGGAATAAATTTTGATTGCATATCTGCGACAACAAGCCGATCTATTGCCAAACTACAGTTTTCTCAAACTACAGTTTACAAACTACAATAGCCTAACAATTGCTAAAGATCACTCAGTTTAAGTCTGGGTTGTTTACAACAGCAGCAGTGTGCTGATGTTCTAGGAGGACAGCTAGGTAGCTAAAACAACACAATAAAAACATGCAAGCAACCGCAGCTTTATAGATATTTCAAACTTGACATGACAAGACCTTTTGTTTGTAGGTTAGGAATAGTTTTGCTTCCAAGTGAGTTAAAAGTTCCAATGAAATCAATGCTTTCCCTGTTTGGCCTCTCAAACACATCAGATAAACTGATATGCCATTTATTATAATTACAGCCATAAATGTAAAGAGAATATGGATTAAGAATCATATACCAATAATATTTATTGGGCAGATTTTATTTCACAAAATTACGAAAGCAATGTTTAACCTGAACCGGATGTTCCCTTATAGATAAGAATGGTTCCTGGTGTTGTCCCCAAAGTGACAAATACAGCTTTTTAAATAGGGTTGGGTATCGATTTCAATTTATTATAACTGCTTTGATTCTGATTCAATTTGATTCGATTCAATTTTGACTCAGTAACAAATATATTATAATTCTGATCATTTATCAGTACATATCCATATTTTTATATCCCTGTATAAAAACAAAGCTGACACTTGTGAGATTTCATCAGAGGTGTAAGCATCACAGCAGATGCCTTTGTGTTAAAGTAACCGAGGATAAAACACAGAAAAATATGAAGGAGATTTTCCTGGCTTGGCGTTTCATAGCAGATAACCTCCTTAAAAATATTCTGCAGTACATCAAAAACAGAAGGAAACCATAAATCAGCAGATTAACATTACCTGATGCTGCTGAATTGAAGCAGAGCAAAGTTACAGAGGTTTTATTAGAAATACAGCTAAGTGTTTTACGATTTGGCATCATTTGTAAAAGTTTACATTTCGTCACTATTGAAGAACAGAAATTAGGCTCTCTTGTTGGAGGTCATAAACAAAACAAAAAAAACAAAAAAAAAAACAAACCTGCGGCCGGCAGCACTGTACACAACAGTAGACAAGTGTTAATAAGCCAGCGAATAATGGAGAAAACAGATTTTTGATGGGAAATTGGTCTGAAAGTACACCGGGAGAGAGAGCTGTGCAGTAAGTGTGATTTTATCATGGTGGAAGCAAAACAGCAAAAGTAAGAGAGAATTCATGATGATGTTTTTCAAACGTGAAACGTCATTTGGATCTTCTTCTGCTGCTGGTTGAGTTAAGTTTTACCTGCTCTCATTTGTTGTTTTAACTGTTTGGCAGTTGTTGAAATAGTTTTGTGAGCTTTAACCTGAGATTCTGGCATTTCTGACAAAATACATTTATATTTAAAAATCGATTCAGGGTTTAATAAATAGATATCACATTATTCAAACTGAAATTGGTTTAAAAAGGGAAAATCTTTTCTTTTCTTTTTAAACCCACCCCTACTTTTTAATTCAAAGCTAGCATTGGACACACACTCAATAGAGGGAACACTTATCACGCTTTTACCAGTTGAGATCTGATACAGAGTAACTCTAGGTATTTTGTGATATTAGTTTTAAGTCAATATTTTGTAATCTTTCTGTAAAGAAAGGACTGGGAATCATTCTTTTATATCCAAGACAGTGATATACTTGGCTTTTCTAACTATGTATAATTTTTTTAAGTTTCCTGTGTGTGTCAAACCAAACCAATGTCCCTCTGACTCTTAATTCATATGATACCAAACAGAGCGTAAAAACAATCGAGCAAAAGAGTCTGATCTTCTCAGTTATCTCAGTTCACTTTCATCAACTTTGCAGTTAAGTAATAATAACTTTGAAAGCATACAAAGAGACATGATATGCCTCTAAACTGCTGTGGCTTTGATTAGGTGATCATACTTCATGCTATAATAGTTCTGCCATTAGATGTCAATCGAATCAATATCCACAAATCAGATAAGTGCATCCCTAGTAAATCATGTGGTCATATACCCAGAG